GAAGTAGGCCAGGGCTGTGGAGAGCAATCCCATTACAGATGGATCCCATACCATGCTCACGTACACCAAACCTAACATTACGCTCTTCTGGTGTCTTCTTTTGGAAGTCACCAAACATCTTAAGAAGGGTCATGTTAGAGGAGGCAAGATCAGCACTCCCACCAAGCAGACCAGGGAGAACCTTAACAAGGGCATTAAGATTTTGCTGAGACAGGTTTCTGGTGGCATCAGCTGGGCTCTCAGGAGTGTATGCCTGAGGGTAAAAGTATAAAAATCACAACTGAATTAAACCACAGGACAAGGGAAGGGAATGCAATGCCAGGTCAATAGATCTGACTTGAAAGCAGACACTAAATATAATTGAGTCCAATTTGTTTAGTCCAAAAGAAAAGTTTCCAAAGACAAAGGATAATATATATGCAAATTAACAGAATGAATCTCGATGTCACAAGGTGAAATAAAAGAGCAAATCTGTTTCTTAGCTACTTACAGGAAGCGCTTTCTCCCATCCAGCTGGCAATTCACCAGTTATGAGGGACTTCAACTCAGCAGCTTCTTCTGGATATTTTTTTTCATATTCAGCAAATTTGGCATTCCATTCAGCTTCATAAGCAGCACCCACAGGAACATGGCGGCTCCAGTGTCTGAAGAAAAAATGATCACAATTGTAAGTTTTCAAGAAAAAGTTAGCTAAGTTTTATCCAATTCAAGAAGCAGGCGAGATCATTCATACTTCTTGACATCCTCAGGAACATGGAAAGGCTCATAAGGCCATCCAAGGTTCTGCCTAGTGGCCTCTACTTCCTTGGCACCCAACGCACTGCCATGTACACTGTATGAGTTTGCCTTGTTGGGGGATCCATAACCAATTGTTGTGGTTACCTGTATGGAAGAAATATATTTAACAAAAATATCCCAATTTGAAGAATGCAGGAAGAAACACCAAGCAATCAAGCTGGAAATATTTCAAATCTACCAGCCCATTCAATTTAGCGGAGGAACTGTTTTAGAGATAAATGCAGCAACAACTATAGGAAAACATGAAGTAAGGCTCAAGATGAAGCATAATCAGTATCTGACCTTGATCAAGGTAGGCTTGTCTTTTACAGCCTTTGCTTCCTTGATGGCAGCACGAATTTCATCATAACCTGTATTACCATTCTTGACCCAGATAACATGCCATCCAAGAGCCTCAAACCGGAGTTCGACACTCTCGGTGAAAGCAATTTCAGTATCACCATCAATTGAAATATGGTTATCATCATAGAAGGCAATCAGCTTTCCAAGTCCCCAGTGGCCAGCAAGGGAACAAACTTCATTGGAGACCCCCTCCATTTGACATCCATCACCAAGGATAGCATATCTATATAAGATGTAAAAGTCCCGTCATTAAACAACATAGAGAACTGGTATTTGAGACCCACCAGAAAATTGAAACAACTATTAACAATTCAGGAAGTCATATTACGTGTAGTGGTCAACAATCTCGGCATCCGGTTTGTTGTAACGAGCAGCCAAGTGTTTCTCAGCAAGGGCTAAACCAACAGCATTTGCAATACCTTGGCCAAGCGGACCTAATCAAAAGCAATGAGAGACAACGATTAGTCCCACCACTCCGTTCAACGTCCAAATATACTAGCTGAACTAAATTCTAACCAGTGGTGACTTCAACACCAGGGGTCTCAAAGTTCTCAGGATGACCCGGAGTTTTGCTTCCCCATTGGCGGAACTGCTTCAAATCTTCCTCCTAAATATCCCATGGAAACACATTCAGTCCAACGGGAGAAAAAAAAACCCACTCCATAACTCAATCCAGCACAAGCAATGTCATGAAAACAACTTGAAACCTTCCTGCACAGGACAATATCACCCCCATCTTGCTACTTTAAAAACCCAGGCTCCATTTACTAGCTCAAGTAATACAATCATCTTATACCAGGTGAATTAAACAAACTACAAGCAGACCAGTGAAAAAAAATCAGCAACCAACTCTAAACAGTACCAAATAATTGAAAAGGCAACAGAAAATAATAAATGTAAGCTAATTATAAAACAAGATCAGATATAATCCAGTAAAATTCCATTCAAAATCCAATTGTTACCAGATTCTCCACCAAAACCACCTCCAAAATGAGGTGCAAAAGTCAAACATCACAGCAAAATGCATTGAAAATCCGATCTTCAGCAATGTTCTAACAAGCCGACCTCGAAAATGACATGCAGAGTTGGAAAACCACAAATCCAAGAAAAAACCAGATCCAAAATCCAATCTTCAAACCCAAAAAAAAAATAATAATAATCTGGGACTGCACCAGTTAGATCGGATAAAAGGATGAATTCACACAGAAACTACGATTAATAAGTTTTGACCTTGACAGAGTCATATCCAGCAAGGTGAAGCAAAGCATACTGAAGCATACATCCATGGCCGGCTGAGAGAACAAACCGGTCCCTGTTGAACCAATAAGGATTCTTGGGATTATACTTCATGACCTCATCATAAAGAATATGACCCATTGGAGCGCAACCCATGGGTAGACCCGGGTGACCGGAATTAGCCTTCTCGACAGCATCGACGGCCAAGAAACGGATGGTATTGATGGACTTTTCTACAAGGGCCGTGCCGGTTTTCTCCAGAGTTTCTACTGCAGCTGAGGCCAAGACCTGGGCTTGGCGTCGACCCGCTGCTGGGACGGAGGGACTGCGGCGGCGGGAGGCAGCAGTGGTGGTTGTGGAGGGGGTGGATTTGAGGGCAGAAAACGTGGGGAAGGAAACAGAAGGGAGGTGGGGGTTGGAAGAGCCATGGCGAGGGATGGAGCCGGCGAGAACGGCCTGGGAGAGAGTGAGGGAAGAAGAAGAAGCCATGACTCTCTTGTGGTAGTGGTGTTGGTGGGGACTTGGGAGGGAGAAGAATTAGGAGGTGTGTTTGTTCGGGGTGGATAGATTATATCGAGAAGGGAGGGAGGAGAGTTGGTGGACTTTTTAATTTGATTTTGTTGCTGTTTTTATTTAATGATGATGGATAATATATATGACGTCGTACTACAAAAACACATTGGTGTGTGCCGTGAGAAAGGGATAAAAAGAGGCTCTATTGGAGACCGAAAGAGGTACAAAAGCTTTGCTTTTTTTTTTTTTTTTTAAAATTTTGGAAAAGGGTATTACCGAATTATAGAAGAGTGTTTAATTATAAATTTGTAGCATTTAAAATGTGAAAAATAATTTTTAAAAATTATTAGAGATAAAAACAAGGAATCGAAACGAAACGGGCCTTGAGCATATGTACACCAATTGAGTCAATAAAAAGCCGTTAACAGAACCTCAACTGTAAACGCTGCTACTATTACTAATATCCAATTCTTGTGTATGGCAAGAGATGAACGGTTGAAAGGACAAAAGATTTTATTATTGAGAACTGGGGTAAGGAAGAAAAGGGACAGAGATTCGATCAATGACAGACAGAGACTGGGGAAGAAGAAGAGGGAGAGCTTGTGGTGGCATGAGATAGGATGGGGGAGGAGAAACCGAGGAAGAGATCGGGGCCGTTGAGTAAGGGTAGGATATCAATGCTTTTCAAATTTTTAATGAATTAACGTTGTCCGCATGCAGAATTTTCTGACTCAAGTTGTGCATTCGTTTGCTTTGTAAGGTGAATTAAACTAAGAGAGCAACAACGACTAATAAAGTCTTGATCAAACCTCCTTAGATTAGATTAGATTAGATTAGATTATAGGCGGGGTTCAGACCTCAAACCTTCAAGGCTTCAACCAAAAAAAAAAAATTTAAGAATAGTATTATAGCATTTTTTTGATTTAGTTAAATCTGTATACTCACTAATCTCTAACACATGCCTCCTTAAACTTTCCTTCCCCTTAAATAAGAATAGAATAGATTATACAATGTATCGTTACTGGCACGACAAAAAACGCAGCCCCCAATTTGGTTTGGTGAGATTTGCGTCTGCATGACATAAATTTTTGTTTGCAGCTCTTGGAATATTTGCTATGCATTTCATCAATCAACTAACTAACGGGTCTTGTCTTGAAAGAATGGCTCTAAAATTTTAATAGACCACAACATAAGTGGTCGTTGTAGGAGAAAAGAGAGAACATAGGTGGAGTCGGCGAAATGTTTTAAGAACAAATCTAGGGATAGTTTTCGCATCCTGTACAAATTCAACCTCATTGACTAGAAAAAGTTGAGCCGCCAGACTCCACCTACCTCCGTATCCAATCCACCATTTCTGTTATTGTTTTGGCAACCCTTCAATGACTTAGAGGCCATTCAGAGGTTGCTGAGCTATATATATATATATGCGTAGGGCAAAAAAAAAAAAATGGGTGGGGGGTTAGAGTATATGTCATTGGGTTCTGTGACCTCAGTCCTCTATAGCCGAAAGTCAAGCATCTTCTATCTCTTAGAATAAAACACCTAGAAGGCTAGAACCAATACGCAATAAGTGACGCAATAACTCATGTGGGCTTTTGGGCATACAAGTGACGCAATAATAAGACAACAAAAGTAGAAGATGATGATCTTCTTCAACAAATTTGCAACCAAATAAGAAAACCTCAAAGCACCCGACCCGAGGACAAAATTTTCATAAATGATGAATAGGATCGATGTTCAACAACAATGAGGCTAATCCCTTTAGCGGGCGTGTAGACAAGCAAAACAAGCCCTAATATCAAAAGAAAGTACGAAAAGTTAGAGAACATATTGCATGAAAACAAATAATAATAATAATAATAAAAGAGTACCCCAAAAAAGGCTGGATTTTGACATGAAAAATTCTTGGCACCCTGGAGACTAGAAGTTTGCTACTCAAAAGTCAGCTTCAGATTAAACTTCTGCATATATGCTCATCGTGCGCAAGTCTAGCACGGAGTCTGAAGGGCAAAAGCTTGTTCAAACAAGGAATGGCAGCTAGTAATTTATTTTTAAACGACAAAGGATGAATATAACATCAAGAAAAATACACCAAATCTATACTCGTCAAATGCTGAAAAGTTGACTTCTAAATTTTCAGATGTATCCATGGTACATTACAAATTATGTTGTAAGAACAGGTGTTCTCGAAAGTTCTGAAGTCCTTGTGATGGGGATAATGGAAGGAGAGATGACTAAAACGTTGATTTTACCACCAGACGATTTGATTCATTGTCATTCAGCCTCAGACAACAAATTGGTTCTATAATTACAAAGCTACAAGGAAACAAAGCACCCCTGCATTGATTTCTAGGGAATCAGTATAAACTTACATCAGTTTGACTCGTTTACAGTTTGAAGCCAAATTTCGGATCCCTCGGCCAGTTACAGCATATGGAGCAGATGCTGATCGAATAGAAGGTGACTTGTCAATGTGGGCATAGCGTCCATTGCCATTCCAGTACAAAATGATACGATTTGTACAAGCATGTGACCAACTATCACCTGCCCAGCAAGATTTAGGAACTCAGAAAAGGATATGTCCCTGATGACCAGAATCTGGAATCAGGTTGGATGAAAGACAAAGAGGGAGGAAAAATTAACTATAAAAACAACAGTAGCAGAGCACCCAAGGAAAGACAAGTATAAGAAAATTATTCTTAAAGAAGACAGATTCTTACCTAGAGCAAGAGTCAGTTGAAATGAACCTCCCGAATACTTGGTGGTTACTTGATTCAACAAAATAACCTGTATTATGATGTCCTCTGGTCATTAGAGTGCACAAACATGAAGTAATGCCATTCAGTTGGATAAGAAGGAGACAGCTTAAAGAATATGAGAAGGAAAAGAGATAGTCTAATTCTTACCGCTAGAGTAAATTTCTTTGCAAGTTTCATCAACTTCAAGGCCATTCCACCAAGTAATCGAGTTCTAAGTGCCATGTCATCAAAATCTTGACGGAAGTGAAAAGTAATGCTGTCAACAATAACAACCTTGATCTGTGACAGTAGAGGAATGTCAATAATTTACAACGAAAATTTGCATAATGCAAGCTCTCAATGACATCACCAACATCATTAAAAGAAAAGAAAAAAAAAAGAACTTAAATACTACACCTACATCTTTATGCTCTGAAATGAACTTCTCCAAGTAATTTATCACGGCGATTTGCTCTGTGTAACTGCAAATGCGAAAGTAGTATATATTGGCAAGAAAATCATTTGCCTGCAGATTTACTTGACGGGCTGGCAAATCTTTACGTAGAAAGCTATCATATTCTTGCATGTCTTTGATGCATGCTTCAGCAACTTGCTGAACACGTTCAACCATAAAGCTGCCTTCTGTATCTAAAAAAAGAACTCATAGAATCTTCAGTTGAAATGCCTTTGGAGAAAGCAGTAGCAGATTTAGTCACACCACCATGAGTATTTTGTGTACCGTACTTACCAATATAAACTGCTTTCCCTGCAAGGCCACCATATTCAAGTGGAATTTGAACATTGATGGCAAGTTGAATACTGCATGCTAGTATATGTCTTAATAAGAACCAAAAGGAACAGAACAAAATTTGTCAATCAACTGTAAACAGGAACAAATTCTTACCCAAGTTGTGTTTTACCAATTCCTGGCACTCCACCTGACAAAATAGAAAGTGATAAAGCTTGAGATTGTCAGCAATTTGTAGATGTCCTCTGTCTCGTTCTCTCTCTCTCTCTCTCAATGAAAGTGTTTAAGGTACCAAACATGGTAGGAACCACCATAGAGATGATAAAAGACTAACCAATTTCAGTAACTTCTTTGCAACTTATTCCTCCACCTAGGATGTCATCAAGATCTGCACATGATGTGGTAATTCTTCTGCATGATTCCTCCTCATGCAACATGTCCCAGGCGGTCTGTGCCCCTAAACAAGAAGAAAAAAATTAAGATTCAGTTAGCCGAATTTTGTGCATCCCTTGTAAGAGGCCGCATCTAGCAGACAAAAGAAATATCTTACACAACAAGATCTATGGGTTAACAAATTCCTTCATTCACAATCCTCAGTAAACAAAATTTACACACACACAATCGGTGATACACTTTTACAACTTACTGTGTTGGCATGCCAGTAAAATGGTAGAAAAACAAGAAGATATTCACATATTCACCTAAAAAAAATCTCAAGTACAACAAAAGTGCTAATTCGGCATAGTAGGTGAATCTTCAGACTATATATTCCATAACGCGAAATGTAACAAAGCAAGAAAAAACTAAACAAGCCCAGCATATCACTGTAGATTTGCCCTCCTTAAAAATAATAAAAATAAAAATTTTGTAGCTCCACGAAACGGATACATCACACCTATTTGGTAAAAGCAAAAGGAAAAGATTACCAAGTACAATCCCTTTATGATGATAGTCATGACTCATGCATTAGTGAAGTAAAACAAATAGAACAACTCCACAGCAACATCAAATTCCACAGCAACATCAAAGGCCCCCCTCAAAAAAAAAATCACAATAATAATATATAATCAGCATTGATAAATTACTCAAACCATCAACAATAGAATGGTGACTTGGAATGGTTCTCTCCGGTCCACCCCTTTGGGATGCCACCTTCAAAATCCCAGTAGCCTCGTTCTCTGAAATCCCCAAATCTAGCCATTAAACAAGAGAAACCCGTCAGGGGAAATGTTATAAAATATTCAAAAATTTAACTCACACTCATTTAGCGCAAAGATTAGCTATTATCCAACAATGAGATGTATTTGCAATCAAATACGAGTACACAAGAAAAAAGAGAATAGATGACATAACAGCTCTAGTAATACCAACAAGAAGGCATACCACGGGCGAGGTGGGCGGGCGAGATAGAGCTGAGGGAGGAGATAGAAATGTAGCCGGCGGATATCAACTTTGCTCTATGCGAAGCTGAAATTGGGAGACTCGATACTTCCATTCTCTCTCAAATTTGTCTCAGTGTGTGACTGTGTGTTTTTGTTTAGAAGCTTTTCGCGGTTTTTGTTCAATTGAGAATCTGTTCAAAGGGTTTCAATTTCAATTCAAGTGCTGCTGCAAAGGAAGCATTCACAATACTTAAACGCTGCGTTTCAGAAACATTATAAAAGTTTCTTCGGCCCAGAGACTCTACCAAGCTGGCCCGAATCCGTTGAACTCGTCTTAATTAGAGAAAGTTCTGGTTTGCTGTAAAAGGTTGATATTGATTTTGTTTCCTATCGTTCGGCCGCTGCTACATACGCGCATCGCAGCAGAAGGCTTATTTCATTGGGCCCGAGTTTTATTCACTCTTGAGTCTTGACCAGTTTGAATTCATTCATCATTTAGGGTCCGTTTGGTTGGACTGACAATATTTTCCCTAGGAAAATATTTTCCATCGAAGCCACTTTCCTGAAAAATCAATTCCTTCCCCAAAATTTTCCAGTGTTTGGTTATTAAGTGAAAATATTTTCCAAATTCCTTTTTTTATAATTTTTCAGTGTTTGGTTTGTCAATCAAAAACCTTATTCATGGTACAGAATTAGAACTATTGGTACGTAAAAGCACCCTAATCAAGTCTAGAGTGACTCAAATCCCTGCTTTAAATGTTGTCGGCCTCAGTTGGATCAAAAATCTGGAACAATTCAATACATACAGAGGCAAATATATGCCAAAATATAAAATATTGCTCAACAAAAACAAAAATCACATCTCCAAATGGAAAATGGTCCCAAAAATATCAGTTGCCCAGGCAGTAAATCATGGTTACATCATTAATAGCACTGAAGATTATGTCCTTAATAGCAGAGATCTTCTGATCTGTGACCGATTGTGGAGAGATGTATCCCCTATCAATCTGCATGTCAAAAAGAATACTAACCAAGTCATATTTAAATCACAATTATCAAGTAAACAAAACGCAAAGCAGGGGAAAAAGATTTTCATATCAAGACTTGGGAAAGGCATGGGGAAGCAGCTCGAACAGACCTCCATTCCTTCCTCCACATTGACTGTAGTCTCAAAGGAAGAGGATGACTCAATGGACAAGACACCATCAGGTCCAACCTTGTCAATTGCATCAGCAACCATGATTCCAATAGTTTCATCATTTCCAGCAGAGATAGTAGCAATGGCTGCATATAGAGGAAGAAATACATCAATACGAATTTCTCTGGTGACATCAAACTAGGAACTAAATGGACAATACATATGGATCCACATCATAAGAGCCAAAAGATATACCTTTGATATCTTCACGACCTTTAACTGGCCTGCCCTTTTTCTCTAGCTCATCAATCAAACCTTGTGCAGTGGTTTTTGGGCATGAAGAATGAGAATCATGGGACAATAACTTCACTCATCCATGGTTATAACAGGCAATGATAAATTTTTAGGATTGTTATCTCTGCAGAGCACTCCCTGCAACGGTATTAGCATATAGATACAGGGGCTGCTAAGACGTGGACGTATCAAAGAGCGGCAGAAATAATTAGACACGATACAAAATGAACAAAAACATTTAATAGCTCCAATGCCTCTCACGCAAACAGCTTTTCAGTACCGATAGTTAATATTTGGATGCCAGTACAACCATAAATAATACAAAACCATGACAGAAAAGGATGACCATATTCAATATTACAGTTGAGACGAGATTTTACAAGAGCGAAATCTCAAATGTTAAAAAGTTACAGCTCAACTGAGCTTGAAAGTGCCCTGCGGGTACTAACATAAGCCTCCACTAGCAAGAAACTGCTGACTGAGAGTTTCATTTCAAGGCAGATATCTAGTTTAATATATACACTTCAGAAAGATCTGTATTCAAGTTCAAAATTCTTCGATCAACTGAGTTCCTAGCTAACTAACTTACATCCTTTCGTCGGTCTATTTGTGCAAATAAACTAGCCTACTGTGTGACTAAGAAGCTACTAACCAGTTTCATGTCTTAAATATCCATCTTGAGTACAATATTGTTGACATTGCTCTCCTGTAATTTCTCCAGCGCAACAACCTCAGCCCGATAAGCTGCTGCTGCAGCCGCTGTCCTTGCCCTCTCTCCTTGAGGAAGTTCACATGCTTCGCTGAGAGAACCCAATCTCAACTCAGCAGGTGGAATGAAACACTCTCCCGACAGACCAGGAGCATTAAAGGCTACTTCCTCGATGGTCCATGCTTCTTCCATCCTGGTTTTGGTATGACTCATTGCTGTATCCCCGAACCTGAAAAGGATAACCACTGATCGCCCAGAGTGAGCAATCACGATCCCCTCAACAGGCTCACCAGATTGTAAGAAAACACTACCCTACCCTACCCTACCCGGATTCTGATTCCAAGAATCATAAAACCCCCAAAACTCAGCAGCCAAATTAATTCATTAGCATCAATCAAATCAGATTTAACACTAATCAGATAAGAACAAACTAAAACAAAAGCAATCCACAAATATTCATTCAAATCCAACTTCAAGAATCTACACCAGTAATTCTAGACAATTTTTCAAAGGAAAAGGGAGGGAAAAAAAACTAATAAGAGATCATCATACCTCTGGAAATACTTAAGGAGTCTTCACCTTTGTTGAAAATGCTATTGTAGGAACGGGAATGAGATGTCGCTGCCAGAGTGGGGATGAGCCGTTGATATTGGCCGCCGTAGTTGGAGATGCCGCCGGCGAAGAAGGGATTTGTTTGCTGATGAGATGTCGCTGGAGATGGTTTGTTATCACTGCCCCGAAGAAGAGACTGGTCTTTCATCGATGGTTCCTTGCTTGAGGCTGTGAAAAGAAGACTGCTTTTACGAGAGTGAAGTTATTTTCCTCTCGTAAGTGCAACTTATTTTCTCTCAGAAATTATTTTTCTAAATTAATTGACAACCAAATAATCAAAAATAAGGAAAATGTTTTCCAAAAAACCTTTTTCATCCAAACAAACAGACCTAAAATTGTTGTTCATATGGGCTCTTTTTATTTAGTTAACAAGAATCATAATCATATTAGTAATAGAATTAGTTCATATGCTTTAAGCATCATTCAAAACGAGAAATTTGAATTTCTTAGTATCAGCATCATTCAAAACGAGAAATTTGAATTTCTTAGTATCGAAATACACTGATTGTATAATTTCATCGAACCTTTACTAGAAACTGTAAAGCTTTTGTTAATTTATAAAATCACTTACCGTTCCGAAAAAAAAAAATCATTTCCAGCGAACATGTCTTTTTCTTCTTTGAACACAATTATTCGTTCGTATACGTCCCACAGAATCCCTGAACAGTTTAAAATACTCAAAGGTTGTCTCGACAACTTTGCTGATGCTAGATGACTCTGTTTCTTCTGCAAAAGCTGGGAAGCTTTCTATTCCTTTGCTGTTAGAGTACAAATACTTGATGGTATATTGGTATTGATAACATAACGCACTCTAGCAATATCAATTCCCAATGCATATGTCAACCCGGTAAGGTATTCTGTAGCGTACAAGAACTAAACAAACTGATATTGAACTTGGCAGAATTATCTCTAATGCATGCGTTGCAGTTTTAGATTTCCAGCGTAGCTAAAATGCAATTTTCATCTCTAAGTAAGTGAACGTTTGATCAATTGATACAACTGCACATGGGGGAAAATTGCACTCTACAAACCAAAATTTATGAAGCATTATGCTTGTGCATGTACAGAAACACAGTGCAGATAACTGAATAAACTCTTTTACGTCCTGAGATGAAATAAGACCAAGTTGTTTAAATTGCAGAGATCCGGGGCCTTGTGTGGATTTATATGGTACGAGTGTTAGCTAGTTAATTGAGGGCATAAAAGCACAATACCAAGAAATGTTGATGGTCAAGAGGATTTCATTTTCTTCATGAAGTCTTCAACCCTTGTAGCAGCATCATGCTTCTTGTTTTGTCTAAGTTCATCCAGGAGCAAGCGACAGGTAACATATCGAGGGGTTATGTCTTGAGCTATCATTTTCGTGAAGTAATTATATGCCTCTTCAGGTTTATTTACTTTGCACAGCCCATGGACCAGAAGTGCATAAGTTGACAAATCAAAACTCAGATGATGCTTGCTAGACATCTCATCCAGCAGCATACTCAAGCGATCATCTTTGTTTCCACCTTTAAAGCATGCCTTGAGCAGAGGAAAATATGTCTGCACTTCAGGCTTACAATAAGTCGACTTTTCCATATCCCTGAGAAACTCCAACGCCAATTCTTCTCGTTCCTGCTGACAAAGCATTGAAATCATTGTATTGTACGTTGATGTACTTGGGGCAACCCCCATCTGGGGCATTTCTACCTTGAAAACATGAATAGCATCACTAATTCGTCCAGCCCTGCCTAAAGTATAAAGAAAAGCATTGTAGAACAGTGTATCAGCTTTACATCCAACAGATTTCATTCTATCAATTATCCGCAAGGATTCCTCAAGTGCCCCAGACTTCGTTAATGAATGCATGATTGTGGTGAAAGTCACAACATTTGGGGTGCACTTTTGATCTTTCATTTCATCAAGCAGCTCATACACCCTACTGAAGTTAAATTGATGGCAGTAGAACTGAATAATGGTTGAGTAGCTGATAACAGTGGGCCGAAAACCATGACCTTTCATCTCTTCAATTGTCCAGTGTGCCTCTTCGACCCTATTAATTTTGCACCAACCATGAATAAATATGTTAAAAGTACGAGCATCTGGGGGGATGTGCGATTTAAGCTTCAAGAAAATTTCCCGAGCCTGCCCAACTTTTTTCTCTTTGCAAAGTGTGTCAAATAACAAATTCATGGATTCTGTATTCTTCTGCAACCCGAACTTTTCCAACTCATCAAATATCCTTACAGCATCTTCCCACTCTCCTGCACCAGCAAATCTTCTCATAACCTTTGCTATGGTACTAAGCGAGACAAGATGAGCCATGTTCATTTCATCTACAAAAGCACACATCTTTTCCATCTGTTTCATTCTTCCCAATGTGTCCACCACTTTATCATATAAATTTGGCAAGGGCTTATAGCCTCGATGTAATTCTGCCCATCTGAAAACACCCAATGCAGACTTCCAATCATCCTTTAACCTGTGCAGCAGCCTATTAATAAGTTCATCAGTTATCTTTGTAGCATCACAAGCAGGGTCTTGCATGAGAACCTGAAAAACCTCATCTTCACTGTTTACACCATTAATTTTATGCATAAGAAGATGAAAATCGAAATCTCTTTTCAAATCTATGCATTCTTGTCCCTGATCAAAATCCCTTTCTCGAATGAAATGGTACTGCCTCACCAGAGAGTGACTACAGAAGGCAGAAAAACAGCAAAGGTAATTTCTAAATATAACATGGGAAGTGGCTTGGTTTACCGTTGCAAGTAATATATTCTTCCTGGAAATGGTGCTAGACATAGAATATCACGAAGAAACGTGAAAAATTGTCTTTCTGCTTGTTCAATCCAGCAACCCTGCACACCAAGAAATTAGTTATTTAATGATCCTCATTTCTTATAATCTGAATACTTATCAAATCATACCACAAACAAGAATATTCACGAATTTATCAATCAAAGTGTACAATTTAACCAAAAAATGTACAATCAACGACATGCCATTGCCAGCCGAATAAGGTGCACATTTGCTATATGTAAAAGAGAAGGGAAATGGAAAAACAAGAAATGACCAACTTTAAAAAGTGTATATATATTCCGTAGAATGCTAAAATAAAAACATGAAAACAGTGATTAGCAACTTGTTCTTTCTAATGGTTAAACCTAAAACTTCTTACGCGCCAAAGAAACCACAAGGAAAATGCAGGCATTTAAGGTGACATTTCCACGCCGGAAAACAATAAGCAATGCTTATTATTCAGCAAAAGTGGTAAACATCTGAAAAGAAAACACAATAATGCCGAAGAAATTTCAGATTTATTATTTCTGTGGACTAACTACAGATATCCTCCAAAGTAACAATCCATAAACGAAAAGAGAAAATTTGCAGCCATTTCCTTACGAAAACTTGATTAGGACAGCTTGTTAGCAAAGCTAATAACAAGCCAGAAGTGGAAGAGTAAATTCATTAATGAAAATGCAATGGAAGAACGGAGGGATTACAACCCGTAAAGATCACATTTTTCAGGCACTGGGGTTGATACAGAAGCTAAAATAAGTATACAAGCTGTTTGATCATATGCCTCGGACCAATAAAATTGGCGAGCGCATGAACTATCACTGACACTAAGCTGGCAAAAACTGACAGCTTTGAAAAATTTAAGCTCGAAAAGTAAAGAGCGGCGGCTTCAGACAGTAGTTTATTCAATCGAACGACAGGAAAAAAAAAAAAAGAAAGGAAAACCGCACTTCATGGCAATTACGGTTTGCAGAATTGCAGCTACAGCCACAGCCCCAGAGAAGCAGAGGCAATGACGTCTGAAAACTTCAATTAGTATACCTTGGGTGAAAAGGGAACTACGTCTCCGTAGGGAATGACAACGGACGGATTGCCGGCGGTCGCCCGAACTGTACCTTCGGTGAGGAAATGAGGAAGAGTATATTTGTTTCTTGATGGGAATAGAATGTATTTGGGACGAACATAAATAAAATTTACACACACAGCAAAGTATTAAGGGCAAAAAGCCTTCTCGAATTTTAACAATTTTATATTTCTAACTCTTCGACTATTAGTTGTACATTTTTTTTGCCCTTGAATTATTAAAAATGTACATGTACATCGACGTACAAGGTTAAATGGAAAGAAAAAGATTTTCTATCGAAATAGTAGAAAGAGCAACTTCAAATTAGAATTTTAAACTTTTCACACTCCAAGGAATATTTTGGTATAAAATTTAAAATAATTGGTAAATTAGTGATAGATCTGCTAATTTTATTCAGTGAGATTCATTAAAAATAGAGCCAAATTTGAAATCTACATGAAATCGAAGGCTTGGAATGTAATTTGATCCAATTTTGACAATGATAATGATATTGAATAATTATAGTTGTCAACAAACTTGATTTGAGAAGGAATAATGTCAAAATGACTTTATTTTGGGCTAGTCTCAATATTTTGATATAAAATTTAAAAGAAATGGTGAATGACAAGTAAAATAATTGATAAATCTACTACTCTTTATCTAATGAGATTCAATAAAAATGGAGTGCAAATTTGAAATCTATACGAAAATCGAAGGTTTTGAATGCAATTTGATCAAATTTTGACAAGCCAGTGAAGAGTTGCACTTGATTTGTACGAGAAAGGAGAATATATATATTAAAAAAAAAACATCGTTTATGAGATAGTTTCGTTAGAATTATCGGGTTCAAATTTACGAGAGGACTATAAATACACGCTTTTAATAGTTTATAGGCTAAAAATATGCAAATAATAGTTAGAGGACTAAAATTATAAAATAGTTGAAGATTTTGAGAGCCAAATGGACTTTTTACCCAAGTATTAATGTACATCATATGACGTAAAACTAAACTGCACAATCGTGCAAAAACATTTACCTGCTCCAAATCCATAATTTTATAATACTCATGCTAAAGTTGACATCTCCTTTATTCGTACTTAAAAGGATATTTTTTCTAATGAGCTACTTGGGCCTTAAAAGATACTAGATAAAAGGAACATACACATGCATATTGTTTAATTTTCTATTTTACAATTACCTTTTCTAGCATTTTTTAGCCAAATAATTTTTTTGGTATAACTATACATTTGCAAATGAAAATTTGCAAATATGATGCAGCATATCATCCACTGCACGAATTGTTGAAGAGACCTTGTTTGGATAGTCATTTTCCGTCGGAAAATCACGTCGTTTTTCGTGATCACATTTCCCTATTACCTTTTTTCCTTACATACGTCAAATCGCTACAGTAATTTTTCTAAAAAAAAATCCTAGAAAATGCAATCCAAACACTACCTTTGTCTAATCTCTAACATTTTGGCCGCACAGCATTGCTCTATAATTAAAAAGACCTTCTAGGTCCTGTACAATCCAAAGATAGAAGGAAGAGTGTAATAGCTCACTTAACAGAAAATTGGCTTATGTTCATTCTATCTAAGTCTAAACACTGGTACACAATGAGCATTGAATAACTTATGCCGTGCTCTAGAAAAATGTTCCTTGAGCAGAAAATCTTCTAGGGTATCAGCGAATCCACACATTTATATTGACAAGGGAATACCAAGAACTGTCCCCGCAGAGCCAGTTTCTTGATAAAATTTGAAAACTCTTACTTGATGCAAACGTTCAGCTGGCGACAGTGTGGAGTTGCAAGCTATATCCTTCAAAAACATTAGGGCTTCAGCCATGACATCATTCATTTGAGAAAGCACCAGTAACCTTCACACTGTGGGCTTTGGCTGTCCTAACAGAGATGCCTGAACGAGAGATGTCAGCGACGGATGAATCCGAGCCTTTCTCATTGATCGGGCATCACTTCTTCCTTCCGCATACTCCTCACCTAATGGCCACCTTGGCCGCAAATCAAGCTGTTTCATGCACGACATTCGTCAACATATTACTATCCAAAAAAAGATAGAAGCATAGATTCTTGCTACTTTTCAAAATGAAAATCCTCAAGACCACATGAAAACAAAAGCAATGAACCCAACCACCTGTAGATACTACATTTCCAACATAATTCTTTCAAAAAATGGAGTTCCTCCAATCTCCACTTAAGGTAGCCTGATCCCTTAATTTGTAATCAGTTCACGTTTAAACATGCAATTCATTTGTCCAGATTAACTAAATAGAGGAATTTTGAGGATTGCTTTACAAACCACGTTAACCAAACCTGAAGTAACACATTTGCCCAATTCTTTGCTTATTCAAAGTTCAAGAGAGCAGAAAATGGAAATTGACTAAGCTAATTAGCATTACGGCAGCAAGTCTGATCCATGCGACCACTTAACTTTTTCTCCATCAACTAATAGGTTTTGGAAACCCATATGAAGTGAGAAGTCATGAATTAATCAACTTCTTCTTTCATATGAGAAAAGAGGCAGTAAAGACGAAAAATATAGAGCTTACTCTTCTATTAGAGATATAGCATCCAAATCAAACAAATTCTAGCCAAAAAAATCTTTAAAAATCCAAATGAAAGCACCAAAATGACAAAACCTGGGCATCTTCAGGTTCATTGGCAGGTGGTGGAGGATCATATCTTCCTACCCGGAAATGTTCCACGCCGGTCCAAGCAATCATTACACCTTTCAGAACAAGCCAACATTATTCTTCAAGACAAGGCCCAACGTACTAGCTTTTCAAAGTTCAAATAATTTAGGGTTAAAAACAAAAAAGTCCCCTGTGATATACCTAATATACAGAAAAGGCCCACATGGTTTCAAAACATACAAAACGACACCTCATGTTTTGAACTAAATTATAAACTAACAGAATTTGTTAAACTTAACGAAATGACAATTTCGCCTGTTAAACTTAACGAAATGACAATTTCGCCTGTTAAACTTACCGGATTCTGTTAAGTTTACCGTTAGCTTTACCGAATTCAGTTAAATTTTCATTAAGTTTACCGGATAACGATTTCGTCTGTTAAACTTACGGGATTCTGTTAAGTTTACCATTAACTTTACCGAATTCCATTAAATTTTCCGTTCAGTTTACCGGATTCCATTAAGTTTAACGAATTATATTAGTTTACAATTTAGTTCAAAACATGAGGTGTCGTTTTGTATGTTTTGAAACCATAGGGGGTTTTTCTGTGTATTAGGTATATTACAGGGGATTTTTTTGTTTTTAACCCAATAATTTAACATTACCAAGATTTGGGCAACTTTTCCACAGATGCAAATGAACCCCTACCAGGCCTAAAACAAATTAATTATGTTCTCAATGATGGGTAGATATCTAACAGATTACCACCAGAAATTGAATGCCGATGCAGCTATTCAATTGAGACTAGCCTATTCACTTTATTTTAAATTGCAAAAGTATTGTCTGTAATGAGCACTTGGATCCATCCTTATGTTGTAGTACACGAGCTTGAACCACAGAAACCACACACAATCTATCTACAAGTTATTTGTCCGAAGTTTGTATTTTTCAACTGCCAGTTATTAAAATCAAGTACCTCTGCAAATTAATCACTTTTGCATTTTCTCAATGTTAACTGAATTAGCAGGAAAAACACTTAGCACCTTACCATTATCAGTACAGAGGCTAGGAGGAGGGCACAAAAGTTGCAGGGCATTCCTTTCCACTACCTGATTAAGGCGAGAGCGGACAAACTTGTTTGAAGCAACACCTCCGGAAGCTACCTACGATGGGAGTATAAAGAAATTGCTCTGAGACAATATTCAAACCAATATAAAGCAACAAAGCGCATGAAGTCTAGAATTCGAGAGTACAACAGCGTGGAAGCCAATTGGGAATCTTATTTCACGCACCAAATACTTCACAGAAGGCTCAATTTTCAATGCCCATTCAATTGCTCGTTGGCATTTTTCCTCTAAATGTAATACTGCAACTCGCTGCACAAAGATACTTCGCCAATGTTTAAAAAAGAGTAAAGCAATAAAGAAGAAGATGCTCATTGAACACTATTGTTATATTATATTTAAAGAAAGCAGACATGTGGAACTATATGTTAAAAACTTGATTTTATTTTCTTTTCATGAAATAAATGCCAAGACCATTATCACCTGGAAAGAGGCAGCAATATTTGCCCTTGCACCTCTATCTTCACTACTAGCTGAAGAAATGGGGATTTCAGCATTGCTGCATGCACAACGTCCAAGGAACAAAATAAGGTCAGAGGTGATGGAGAGAAGAGGAACTTTGAACATCTAAATGTTGAAATGATTGATTGCTGGGTTAACCAACAATAGCTGCAGGGACAGAAATTTGTTCCAACTACACGATTAATACTTTTTCCAAGCATATTCAACATGATTGACACAGCTAGAAAAGAAGATTCTTTTAGATCTTTTGGCATATTTTCCCAGATATGCTATAGTCCACAGCTAATATTTCAGCATTTTATATCCAAATAGAAGATTCAAAAGGAAGAATCTGGGACAAGACGTGACCTTCTTATCAACAGCAATAAAGACAATATTTCTTCATGGGAAAAACAATGTTTTTCATAGGCTAAAAGCACCTACATATTCTGTGCTTCGATTTCCAACCTCACTTGATTCTTTAGCCCTGCATATGAGAAGTTGCAGTCTTTGTGTTGTTTCATAGGAACCTAACAAACAACCACTTCAAAACCTGAGCTCAATATGAAGATCAAATTCTGGTCAAACTGTTTCAAAAGAAAACAAATGACACTTGACATAAAATTTCTCCAAACTTACTCTGAATTTGACTGCTTCTGCATCTCCCTCATGAGCTAACTCCTCAATTGCAGGCCCTCCACTCCTCCTCATATCAAGACCAAGCCATTTTGCAGTCTTGTCATATGCCTCCCCAATTGCATCATCAACTGTGGTACCAAGTTGTATGTAATGGCCAAGATCCCGGGCAAGAACTAAAAGGTTGTGTCCTCCTAATGATCAAAATGTTAAAAGTGCATTGACTTAATAAGTTCTTCCCCCCA